CAGAAAAGCAATGAATTTTATCCGTAAACAAGTAAATTTCTGATTGTAAAGTTGTAAAATTGATATTAGCATATAAGTTAAATTTCCTCTTACTTTTTAAAAAATAGAATTTTCCAGAGACAATGTAACATGTGATATCACAACAGATTAATGATGGATCAGATATACAGATTTTAATGACTTCTAAATCAAATAATAGTGAGATTTGCAAAACATAAAACAATGATTTGGAAAATGTAAAAAAAAATCTTGAGAAACATTTTTCACAAAATATGTTACTTTTTTTAACATCTATGTATTTTTATTATGTTTAAATACATCAATAAATAAGTATATTCAAAATGTTCTAAGTTTTAATTTCTAATACAAATAAATACCTAAAGTTATACTTTACATAAACAAAAACTCTTAGGATTCTTTAATAAATTTTAAGAGTAGAAATAGATTCTGAAAGAAAAATGTCAGAAGACTGTGGGAGTAAGTTAATGAACACGCATAATTGGTTGAGGTAGTGCACCAGAGTGTCACCTTCCTAGGTAGCATGCTGTGAGTGAAAACGGAGTATAAATTGCACTGTAGGGAAATCCTCTTTTTCTCATATATTATGATGAATAAATATTGCAATGAAGTTTTCTGGTGATTACAGAAGCATAAATATAGGAAAGGGGAAATTATTATTTAGTTTAGCTTAGCTTTTGTTCGGTTTTACTTTGTAAATGAACATAAGGCAACTGAGCAAAAAGATTGCCATTTTCAGAACTCTTTGTCTCTGTGAAATCTCTCTGTGAAATAGTTGATGGTAAGGAAACACTTTGGAAATGAGCCCATGGTAGTTGTCTTTTGTGATCAAAGAGCATTTTACTCAGAGACATACAAAAGAGCATATTTCAAGGAGTACAACTCCAAACAAGAAGAGGGATATTTTCTGAGAAACAGAACTAAGTTTAGTCAAAACACACACACACACACACACACACAGGCACACACACACATTCAACAAAGAAATACTCAGGAATACATCCATACATTGGCTAGAAATACATAGCAGAAGGAAGATACCTTATGGTGGTTCCTAGCATTTGTTGCTCTTTTCTATTATAAAATTCTAATAAAACTCTGATGAAATTTCAGATCTAGGTTTGGCTCTGTGACTTAAAATCTCAGATTTACATAAACTCTTTGTTTCACCATTTCCAAGTTTGTGAATTTATGAAAATAATGCAAATCTCATAAGGAAGCTGAGAGAATTAAACAAAGCAACAGTAAAATAAATATAATTTAGCTCACTTTCCATTGCATAGATAAGACAATCAGGCATAAAAGATTAGCAACTTGCTTCAGGTGACACAAGTGCTGATAACAGGTCTTAGCTTAGTTACTGTTAGTTCAAATCTGATTTTTAAATACTATGACTCTTTTTACAACAGTATGCTTTATTTGTGAAGTGGAAAGCACTACACAAATAAAAATTGTGCTGGTTTTAAAAGTAAACTAAAGTTAATAGGCACTTTGTTAAATTTAAGAAACATAAAATTACAGGACTAGAAAGGTCTTCTAATGGCTGTTTCAGGACTGCACTCTAAATAACTTCTATAGCTATCTTTACAGTTTTTAACAATGTGTAATAATCTTTTAATATTTGATTTTTTTAACTGTTCAATAAAAATTGAGATTGTTGTTGCCAGGAATATATAGCATTCATAAGCCACATTTGCTTATGCTTGACCAACCTTATCCAATGTCCTTTCATTTTGCAATACTGTGCAAGTTGAGGTCCATCTCTCTCTTACATTATCTCAAATTTCATTGCACTGTAAAAGGGAGCAATATTCACTATTCAATGGGGCAAAATCTCAGTCCCAAAGAAAAAAATAATTATTCTCCACCAAGAATTGATACATTCTGTATACCTTATTTCATCTAGTGGAACTAGAGGGCTGAATGCTTTTGTGACAATTATTAAGCATAAGGAGGAAGGGAGGGAGGAAGAAAGGCATGGGGGCACATTCTCTCATTTATTCTGTATTCTTTTTCATTCTACCTTATGTTTTGACAATCTATCCATTTTAATGTATATAGTTCACTTCTTTTAACATTCCATTTGATAGATATATTACATTTACAGATTCCTCTACTAGAGAAAATTTTAGTTATTACCAACTTTGGCTGCTTCAATAAATATGCTTGTTCAAGTTACTGAGCCAAATGTTTCTTGTATATTCCTGGAAGTCAAGATGCTGGATCATGAAGAAGACAAATTTCTAATTGAACCACATCCCAGAAGCACTATTTTTGCAGTTTACTGACAATTTATATATAATATATATTTTTTCTAATAATATATGTAATATATTATTAGAAAGATATATTTTACTTTTAATTTTGACACATTTATTTCTTTCTGTGAGTTTAATGTTTGTTGTTTAAATATTTTAATTGTCCTGTTATTAATTTGAAAATTTGATTTTCTTTTTTTTAAAGATTTAGTTATTTATTTGAAAAGCAGAGTTGCAGAGAGGCAGAGGCAGAGAGAGAGAGGGAGAGAGATACGGAGAGACAGAGAGAGTCAGAAAGGTCTTCCATCTTCTGGTTCACTCCCCAGGTGGCTGCAATGATCAGAGCTGTGCCCATCTGAAACAAGGAGCCAGGAGCTTCTTCTGGGTCTCCCACGTGAGTGCAAGGGCCCAATCTCTTGGGCCATCTTCTACTGCTTTCCCTGGCCACAGCAGAGAGCCTGATCAGAAGTGGAGCAGTTGGGACTCAAACTGGTGCCCATATGGGATGCTGGCACTGCAAGTGGCAGCTTTACCCGCTATGCCACAGTGCCGGCCAACACAAAATTGATTTTCATGGTTAGTTTTATATGTGGTTTACACATCCTACAGAGGACTATTGCTAATATCTTATTTTTTTCCCCATTTTCTTGTAATCATATTTATCTATACATGTCGTTCCCATCTGCTAAGGAAGCCCAGCTTATCCCAAGTTGAAAATATTTTTATAGTTTCTTCTTTTAGCAAAAAAAAAAGGTAAAGAAAAGTATAGAGCAGGTTTATGTTTACAGCAAAAAGGAGTGGACTGTACAGAGATTTTCCCACCCGTCCTGTGTCCCCAACATGCATATCCCCTATTATCAACATCCCTCCATACAGAGGTACATTTGTTCCACTTGATAAAACTACTCTGAAACATCACTATCATACAAAGTCCGTAAGTAACATTCAGGTTTGCTCTTGGTGTTGTACATTCATTTTTGTTTAATAATTTTTTGTGTGCTCATTAATTTAAATTCCTTTAGATAAACACAAACTATAATTGCAGGACTGAATTTTGTTTTATAAGAAAGTTCCAAGGTGTCTTCCAAAATCATGTTACATCCCCATAAGCATGAATGAGAGTCCTTGTTGCTCTATTGCTTTACCAGCATTGCTCTTGTTGGTGCTGTAGATTTTGTTCATTCTCTTTTTTTTTTTTTTTCTTGACAGATAGATTAGACAGTGAGAGAGAGAGAGACAGAGAGAAAGGTCTTCCTTCCGTTGGTTCACTTCCCAAATGGCCACTACGGCAGGCGCTGCCCGATCTAAAGCCAGGAGCTAGGTGCCTCTTCCTGGTCTCCCACGCGGGTGCAGGCACACAAGCACTTGGGCCATCCCCCACTGCCCTTCCGGGCCACAGCTGGACAGAGCTGGACTGGAAGAGGAGCAACCGGGACTAAAACCCGGCGCCCACATGGGATGCCGGCACTGCAGGCAGAGGATTAGCCAAGTGAGCCATGGCGCTGGCCACTTTTGTTCATTCTAATAGTGGTGCTATGTCATTGTTTTCACTTATATTTCCCTGATGGCATGTACTGTGGGACATCTTTTCATGTATGCCTATTTGTTATCTCTAACATATCTGGCCTGCTCTTAATATTTTTTTTAATTGTTGAATTTAAGTGTTTTTGTGGCTAGTAAACCTTTATCAAATATGTCTTTTGCAATAATATTTTTGTTTGGCTTATCTTCTCAAGCTGCGTTTGGATATCGTTTTAGCTCTGTTAAAATCCCAGACTACACTGTGGTCAAATCATCTTTCCTGAGGTCACACCTTGTTATGAAAAACAGAATGCTTGGTGCATTTCAAAAAGGTTCATCTCCTCTCTCTATAGAATGTTCTAGATGTTTCCCCAGTATTCTGTATGAGAACATTAGGACGTTCCAGGAGATAAAAGTCACAAATTGTGCCCCTTTCATCCTTCCATGACTAGGCCCCACAGAAATGTGTATCTCTCTAAGTTATCTTTTCTGAGATTTCAGGATTTCTCAGTTACATTTCTGGGTTCCCTACCCAAACTCTGGGTAGGTTTCCTGCAGAAGTTTGTCATAGTGAGTTTCTGCACATCCAGGTTGTGGCTATCTCACTTTGCTTGTTGGTCTTTCCAGTTTTCAATACAGCATTTTGCCCCATATCTTTCTCTCCCATAAATCAAAAAATTGCTGAATTTTCTTTTTTTAAGCTTTTTATTTGTTATTAATATGGAGTGGTGATTTCTTAAGTGCCATACTTTATAAAGTATACTTTTTTACATATACATTTTTTTGACAGTAAGATTTCATTTTGGAATGAGATAAGCAAAACAGAATTAATTTCTTTTAAAAGTTCATTAACTTGCCTTCAATCAATTCATTTTACAGTTCATTTCTTTCCAATATATCTAAACCTCCACCTACATCAGATACAATGGCCAATATTTGTGTATATTTGCCTCCATATTTTGTTTTCCCACTGTGATTGTCTAGTCCTTCACAAAAGCCATAGTTGTAATTAACATGTATTTTAATATGACTTCATACTTAAGAAATATGATCTCCCTTACATTAGCTTTTCATGTTTTTTTTTTAAATAACAAATGTAACTAATCTTTGTAACCTGAAAATGTTTGAATGTTCAGTGAATACTCTTATTTTGTCTCTTTATTAAAAGAACCTTTTTTTTTTTTTTTTTTTGAGAGACAAACAGTGAACTCCCAGGTGAAGGTTCATTCCCCTTCTGCTCACAATGGACAAGAGTAAGCCAGGAATTCAATACATGTCTCCATCAAGGGTGGAAGGAATCCTGATACTGGTTCCATTATCACTACCTCCCAGGGACTGCATTAACAGAAAACTGGAGACAGGAACTGAAGCCAGGAATTGAATCCAGGTACTATAACATACGATATAGGCCTTTCAAGGATTGTCTTAACTGCTAAGCCAAATGCTTGTCCAAATGAATACTCTGTTTTTATAGATTGCCTATAATTAGAAATAAACTTGAGAAAACTTACTGTATTTATCTTGAACCTATATGAACACATTACTAAACATTTATTGATATAGTCACCCTCATGAATGTTCTTCTGTAATTAATATTTTTCTCAATAAAGTACTTACAATTTGTGCTATTTTTATTGAATTTACTCTTCAGCATTCAGATTTGTGTCTTAATTTTTCTTATTCTATTTCATTTGCTAATTAGTTACTCTTCCTATATAAGATTCTATAAACTTTTAAATATTAACCTTGAATTCTGTTTTGATAACTTCTTCAAATGTCACATCATTTTACAAATGTCATATCATCTTATAAAATTAGGCAATCAGCATTTGTTATTTATTCAATAAATAACCTTTTGAATTTCTTTTGTGCACATGGCACTTACTAGGTGCTGAAAGATACACACACATGGAATAGATACCTTTTTTAGAAATATTTTACTAGCTAAAGTAAATAAGCAAGTCTTATGAGTGAAATGAGTGGAATTTCAATACCACCTACATGATCATATTTTATTTTCTAGTATGGAATGACTAAAACAGTGAGTTGGATAGCAGTTGGCATTCATTCTTCTGGGGAGACGAAGAAGCAGCTAACCACTGTTCTTGACTAGAACAGTCCCCTTGGTATAGGACCAGATCCTGTTAGCACAGAGGAATCATTAATTAAAAGCAGGAAAGATGTCTCCCTAATCCAAAGCCTTTCATTAGTATGTGTTAAACTTTTTCATTATTTCCAAAAACATATGGGCTTCAGCTCCTGTTGATGAAAAAACTCAAATTGGAATGGAATATAAAATTAGGAGACCCGGATTTATTATTACTTCTGGAATTAAGGCCTTGATACATTGCATTAGTGCACAGAGGGTCAAGATCTCTGGCATTTATAAATTTTATTGGATCTAAATTTGTGAAATTGAATTGGTATGGGAGCGGGCACTATGGTATAGCTGGTAAAGCTGCCGCCAGCAGTGGGGGCGTCCCATATGGGTGTCAGTTCTTGTCCTGGTTCCACTTCTGATCCAGCTCTCTGCTATGGCCTGGGAAAGCAGTGGAAGATGGCCCAGGTGCTTGGGCCCCTGCACCCGCGTAGGAGACCAAGAGGAAGCTCCTGGCTCCTGGCTTCGGATCGGCGCAGCTCCAGCCGTTGCAGTCATCTGGAGAGTGAACCAGCGGATGGAAGACCTCTTTCTCTCTCTCTCTGCCTCTCCTTCTCTCTGTAACTCTGCCTTTCAAATAAATAAATAAATCTTTAAAAATAAAAAGAAATTGAATGCATATGATGCCAAGATGGAGATGAGTAGAACCTAGTGATTGAGGACTACTCCTTTGCTAGTGAATTTTTTGTTTAAACTATGAAATAAATTTCTCAATTGGGACACATGGAAAATAGTTATTAGAGTAGAAGGCTACTAAGGAGATGTCCCATGCTTGAGAGACAGTAAGACTACATTTTGTGATTCTTTTCCCTTATAGATTAGAGATCATCTGTGCATTAAAAAGACAGTATTGATCTTACGTAAACTCTTGGGATTTACAGACAATAGGTGAATGTTTATTTGCTAGAAATTGTTGGATAAATTAAAACAGAGATGAAGAACCTAGATGCTGTTATTAAGGAGCTCAGTGAGAATCACAATATACAGAAGACAGTTTTCATAAACACGAAGCAAAAAAGTGCTCTATTAAGTAAAAGTGCATAGGATGCTCTAAGAACACAAAGGAGAGTAGTGAACTCAGTCTTTAGCTTTATTCTAGTTTGGAATGATCTAAAATGTGACTGTTGGGCTGACTTGAATAGTTCACAGCAGAAAGGGTATGTTGATGGGTGAAGTATGTCAGACAGAAAAAACAGGCTTGCTTTTTAACCTGCACTTGAAGGAAATGGAAGATACATTCAGAGGAATGCCACTGATTAAGTGGGATAGATACAAGGGAAGCACCAAATATGAAAAATAAAAGATGACTGTTAGGTAGGTCATCTCATTGGGGCCTACTCAAAGAGATTTCCATATATTCCAAAAAACCACAACATTCAATAAATATTTTATGAATTTTTGTACTAAGCTTATTATAAAATCATAGTCCTCATTAATGTAACTTTTGTATGTAGTCACAGAACTGGGTATTTAAAACATATGGTGAGCAAAGATTTGCTTTAACAATGTCACTGATCACATATTGTATTACCTTTAGTCATTATGTTAAAACACCATACTGTGTTTGTACTGTTCAGATTTTTACAGAAGTTTTACTTCATTTGCTTGAAGGTATGACTATTCTTTGAATAACTGTCATTCACTCTTCTTCCTTGTGCATAGTTTTAGAAAGGTATCCCACTCACTCATGTTTCTGGTTCACTAACTACATCAACCAAGGATATTTAAAAGGCTGTATCTGTCTTTGAGATGCAATAGAACTATACATAGGAAAATCATTCCAATGTCCTCATTTCCATTTAAACATTCACTCTTATAAAGTAACCATGTGTCCCACTGCTTTGATCTTCAATAAGTTTCAACATGCCTAATTAAAAGAAATATAATTTTTTTTGACGGGCAGAGTGGACAGTGAGAGAGAGAGAGACAGAGAGAGAGAGAGAGAGAGAGAGAGAGAGAGAGAGAGAGAGAAAGGTCTTCCTTTGCCGTTGGTTCACCCTCCAATGGCCACCGCGGCCAGCGTGCTGTGGCTGGTGCACCGTGCTGATCCTGTGGCAGGAGTCAGGTAGTTATCCTGGTCTCCCATGGGGTGCAGGGCCCAAGGACTTGGGCCATCCTCCACTGCACTCCCTGGCCACAGCAGAGAGCTGGCCTGGAAGAGGGGCAACCGGGACAGAATCCAGCGCCCAAACTGGGACTAGAACCCGGTGTGCTGGCGCCGCTAGGTGGAGGATTAGCCTAGTGAGCTGCGGTGCTGGCTCAAGAAATATAATTTTTAATCCCTATTTCTACATTTTAAAATAATGAAAATGAAACATTAAAAATCAATACACAAATACAAAAATAAAAATAAAACTTCAGCCTCTGTTTTTGTATACTTTATTTCTGAGAAGTAAAAGCTCCTTTTAAAGATTTCTCTTACTCATTTTATTTGAAAAACAGAGAAATAGAGATAAAGACACAGAGACAAACAGAGAGAGAGAGCATGAGATCATCTATCTACTGGTTCACTGCTCAAGTACCCATAATAGCAAAGGCTGGGCCAAACCCAAGTTAGGAGCTGGGAAATCAATTTAATTCTTCTATGAGGTGACAAGGAGCCCATGGTGGGTTGGGTGGTAGGAACCCATGTTCCTGGGCCATCATCTGTTGCCTATCAGGGTACACATTAAGAGGAAGCTGGAATGAGAAGTAGAGATGGGACTCAAACCTATGATCTACAACATAGAATACAGGTGTCCCTAGCAATGTCTCAACCACTGAGTCAAATATTCAACTCACTGCTTTTTAAAATTATATTTACAGAGACATTTGCAATCATGAACTTTAAAAATGGCCAGTCGATTGCAATTATAAATTCCATATATATGATCATCCATGCATTTTTTAAAACATTAATACTTAGAGTTAGAAGTAGAAAACTCCTGAATACTTTATAAAACTTCAATCTTTATGTGAAATACACTAACTCAAAGGACAAATAAACTCATAAAAATAAACATTCATATATTTGTTGGTACCTTCTTTCTTCTCTTTGTAAAGTCTACACGAAATTTATATTTATAAATTATAAGATCTAATATTTTGATCAACTTGTTTAGATCAACATTTCACAATGAGTATGACTTATACTCCAAAATAATTGAATGAAAATTGTCAATTGCAAATAATTTTAGAATTTATTTGACCCATTTTTATTTTATAATAAAGGTTTAAAATGTTATAGCCTTGCATTCTGCTTATTTAGTTATCACATATGGAGATGTCTTTTCCATACAGTCCTTCATATGTGCAAGATTTTGCACATCTTATCCCTTTCCACATTATTTTTGATGTATTGTTGTTTAAAGAATTCTGAAATTCCATCTTAAAAGAGAAGGGATGATTTTGTATCACAACACCAGATTTAAAGACATGCTGCATGGCATTTATAGTCAAAACAGACTGGTACTGGCACAGAAATAGACATATAGACCATGGAAGAGAATACAATCCCCAGAAATCAATCCCCACTTTTTTTTTTTTTTTTTTTTTGGACAGGCATAATTAGACAGTGAGAGAGAGAGACAGAGAGAAAGGTCTTCCTTCTGTTGGTTCACCCCCCAAATGGCTGCTTCGGCCGGTGCGCTATGCCGATCCAAAGCCAGGGGCCAGGTGCTTCCTCCTGGTCTCCCGTGCAGGTGCTGGGCCCAAGGACTTGGGCCATCCTCCACTGCACTTCCGGGCCACAGCAGAGAGCTGGACTGGAAGAGGAGCAACCGGGATAGAACTGACACCTTAACCAGGACTAGAACCCAGGGTGCCAGCGCTGCAGGCGGAGGATTAGCCTAGTGAGCCGCTGATCCCCACGTCTACAACAAACTAATATTTGACAAAAGAGCTAAAATCAATCCCCAGAGAAAGGACAGTTTCTTCAATAGGTGGTGCTGGGAAAATTTGATCTCCACCTGCAGAAGTATGAAATAAGACCCTACCTTACACAAAAATTAATTCAAAATGGATCAAGGATCTAAAACAAAAACCTGAGACTATCAAATTACTGGAGGCGAACATTGTGGAAACTATGAAGACATTGGTATAGGCAAAGAGTTCTTGGCTCAGACTGCAGGATAAGACCCCAGGTACCCTAATCCACTGTTAGTGGGGATGTAAACTAGTACAACCATTGTGGAAGACAGTATGGAGATTCCTCAGCAAATTGAAAACCGATTTACCATATGACCTAGCCA